GTTGTGGGCGTGGCCACAGGGCAGGTGTGACTGTCTGAGTGGGCGTGGCCACTGTCAGGATAAGGAGGGGGCGTGGCCAGCTGTAGGAAGTGGGTGTGGTCAGGTGATGGGCGTGGTCACATCAGTGTGGGTGTGGCCAGGTGGGGGGATGGGTGTGTCCAGAAGATGGGCGTGGCCAGCACCAGAATAAACAAGTGGGTGTGGCCATGAAGTGGGCGTGGTCACAGACAGGGTGAGCAGACGGGCGTGGCCAGGTGAAAAAAAGAGGGGGAGTGTCCAGGAGATGGGCGTGGTCAGAACTGGCACAGGTGTGGCCAGGTGGGCGTGGTCACAATGTGGGCGTGGCCTATCGCAGGTGGGCGTGTCCAGGTGAGCATTTCTAGGTGCGGTGGGCGTGTCCAGGTTCAGTGGGCGTGTCCAGGTTCAATGGGTGTTTCCAGGTGGGCGTGTCCAGTTGTGGTGGGCGTGTCCAGGTACAGTGGGCGTGTCCAGTTGATCCTATCCAGGTGTGGTGGGCGTGTCCAGGTGGGCATGTCAAGTCGTGGTGGGCGTGTCCAGGTTCAGTGGGCGTGTCCAGGTGCGGTGGGCGTGTGAAGTCGCGGTGGGCGTGTCCAGGTGCAGTGGGCGTGTCCAGGTGGGCATGTCGAGTCACAGTGGGCGTGTCCAGCGGGGGTGGGTGTGTCCAGGTGGGCGTGTCGAGTCTCGGTGGGCGTGTCCAGGTGGGCGTGTCCAGGTTCAGTGGGCGTGTCCAGGTGGGCATGTTGAGTCACGGTGGGCGTGTCCAGGTGCAGTGGGCGTGTCCAGGTGGGCATGCCAAGTCATGGTGGGCGTGTCCAGGTTCAGTGGGCGTGTCCAGGTGCAATGGGTGTTTCCAGGTGGGCGTGTCCAGTTGTGGTGGGCGTGTCCAGGTACAGTGGGCGTGTCCAGTTGATCCTATCCAGGTGTGGTGGGCGTGTCCAGGTGGGCATGTCAAGTCGTGGTGGGCGTGTCCAGGTTCAGTGGGCGTGTCCAGGTGCGGTGGGCGTGTGAAGTCACGGTGGGCGTGTCCAGGTGCAGTGGGCGTGTCCAGGTGGGCATGCCAAGTCATGGTGGGCGTGTCCAGGTTCAGTGGGCGTGTCCAGGTGCAATGGGTGTTTCCAGGTGGGCGTGTCCAGTTGTGGTGGGCGTGTCCAGGTACAGTGGGCGTGTCCAGTTGATCCTATCCAGGTGTGGTGGGCGTGTCCAGGTGGGCATGTCAAGTCGTGGTGGGCGTGTCCAGGTTCAGTGGGCGTGTCCAGGTGCGGTGGGCGTGTGAAGTCACGGTGGGCGTGTCCAGGTGCAGTGGGCGTGTCCAGGTGGGCATGCCAAGTCATGGTGGGCGTGTCCAGGTTCAGTGGGCGTGTCCAGGTGCAATGGGTGTTTCCAGGTGGGCGTGTCCAGTTGTGGTGGGCGTGTCCAGGTACAGTGGGCGTGTCCAGTTGATCCTATCCAGGTGTGGTGGGCGTGTCCAGGTGGGCATGTCAAGTCGTGGTGGGCGTGTCCAGGTTCAGTGGGCGTGTCCAGGTGCGGTGGGCGTGTGAAGTCACGGTGGGCGTGTCCAGGTGCAGTGGGCGTGTCCAGGTGGGCATGCCAAGTCATGGTGGGCGTGTCCAGGTTCAGTGGGCGTGTCCAGGTGCAATGGGTGTTTCCAGGTGGGCGTGTCCAGTTGTGGTGGGCGTGTCCAGGTACAGTGGGCGTGTCCAGTTGATCCTATCCAGGTGTGGTGGGCGTGTCCAGGTGGGCATGTCAAGTCGTGGTGGGCGTGTCCAGGTTCAGTGGGCGTGTCCAGGTGCGGTGGGCGTGTGAAGTCACGGTGGGCGTGTCCAGGTGCAGTGGGCGTGTCCAGGTGGGCATGCCAAGTCATGGTGGGCGTGTCCAGGTTCAGTGGGCGTGTCCAGGTGCAATGGGTGTTTCCAGGTGGGCGTGTCCAGTTGTGGTGGGCGTGTCCAGGTACAGTGGGCGTGTCCAGTTGATCCTATCCAGGTGTGGTGGGCGTGTCCAGGTGGGCATGTCAAGTCGTGGTGGGCGTGTCCAGGTTCAGTGGGCGTGTCCAGGTGCGGTGGGCGTGTGAAGTCACGGTGGGCGTGTCCAGGTGCAGTGGGCGTGTCCAGGTGGGCATGCCAAGTCATGGTGGGCGTGTCCAGGTTCAGTGGGCGTGTCCAGGTGCAATGGGTGTTTCCAGGTGGGCGTGTCCAGTTGTGGTGGGCGTGTCCAGGTACAGTGGGCGTGTCCAGTTGATCCTATCCAGGTGTGGTGGGCGTGTCCAGGTGGGCATGTCAAGTCGTGGTGGGCGTGTCCAGGTTCAGTGGGCGTGTCCAGGTGCGGTGGGCGTGTGAAGTCACGGTGGGCGTGTCCAGGTGCAGTGGGCGTGTCCAGGTGGGCATGCCAAGTCATGGTGGGCGTGTCCAGGTTCAGTGGGCGTGTCCAGGTGCAATGGGTGTTTCCAGGTGGGCGTGTCCAGTTGTGGTGGGCGTGTCCAGGTACAGTGGGCGTGTCCAGTTGATCCTATCCAGGTGTGGTGGGCGTGTCCAGGTGGGCATGTCAAGTCGTGGTGGGCGTGTCCAGGTTCAGTGGGCGTGTCCAGGTGCGGTGGGCGTGTGAAGTCACGGTGGGCGTGTCCAGGTGCAGTGGGCGTGTCCAGGTGGGCATGCCAAGTCATGGTGGGCGTGTCCAGGTTCAGTGGGCGTGTCCAGGTGCAATGGGTGTTTCCAGGTGGGCGTGTCCAGTTGTGGTGGGCGTGTCCAGGTACAGTGGGCGTGTCCAGTTGATCCTATCCAGGTGTGGTGGGCGTGTCCAGGTGGGCATGTCAAGTCGTGGTGGGCGTGTCCAGGTTCAGTGGGCGTGTCCAGGTGCGGTGGGCGTGTGAAGTCACGGTGGGCGTGTCCAGGTGCAGTGGGCGTGTCCAGGTGGGCATGCCAAGTCATGGTGGGCGTGTCCAGGTTCAGTGGGCGTGTCCAGGTGCAATGGGTGTTTCCAGGTGGGCGTGTCCAGTTGTGGTGGGCGTGTCCAGGTACAGTGGGCGTGTCCAGTTGATCCTATCCAGGTGTGGTGGGCGTGTCCAGGTGGGCATGTCAAGTCGTGGTGGGCGTGTCCAGGTTCAGTGGGCGTGTCCAGGTGCGGTGGGCGTGTGAAGTCACGGTGGGCGTGTCCAGGTGCAGTGGGCGTGTCCAGGTGGGCATGCCAAGTCATGGTGGGCGTGTCCAGGTTCAGTGGGCGTGTCCAGGTGCAATGGGTGTTTCCAGGTGGGCGTGTCCAGTTGTGGTGGGCGTGTCCAGGTACAGTGGGCGTGTCCAGTTGATCCTATCCAGGTGTGGTGGGCGTGTCCAGGTGGGCATGTCAAGTCGTGGTGGGCGTGTCCAGGTTCAGTGGGCGTGTCCAGGTGCGGTGGGCGTGTGAAGTCACGGTGGGCGTGTCCAGGTGCAGTGGGCGTGTCCAGGTGGGCATGCCAAGTCATGGTGGGCGTGTCCAGGTTCAGTGGGCGTGTCCAGGTGCAATGGGTGTTTCCAGGTGGGCGTGTCCAGTTGTGGTGGGCGTGTCCAGGTACAGTGGGCGTGTCCAGTTGATCCTATCCAGGTGTGGTGGGCGTGTCCAGGTGGGCATGTCAAGTCGTGGTGGGCGTGTCCAGGTTCAGTGGGCGTGTCCAGGTGCGGTGGGCACTCAGTGACCCCGCCCCCTCACCTGCAGTGGGCGTGGCTCCGGGTCCCGCCCCCCCGCCGGGGTCACCGGGGTCACCTCGGGGCTTCCTGACGCCTTCCTGCAGGGGCGGGGCGGGGGCGTGGCCTCGCGAGCTTTGGCCACGCCCACTCCCCGCCCCAACCCCTCCCCGTGCCCCAGCTCCACCCCCAAGTGGGCGTGGCCTAAAGGGGTGAGGGCGTGGCCTCTTTGGGTGTGTATGCAGCTCATTTGCATGGAAGGGGGTGTGGCCTCTGGGCCTGCATATGGGTGTGGCCTCTTGAGGGCGTGGCCTAACAGCATTTAATATGTGGGCGTGGCCTCTTGGGGCTTGTCCCAATGTGGGCGTGGCTTATCTTTGGGGGACCAAATATGGGCGTGGTCACCTCGGATGGGAAAGTGGGCGTGGCTTTTTTGGGTGTGTCTGATTGTGGGCGTGGCCTCTTTGGGGTGTGTCCCTATCAGGCACATCTCCTTAGGGGCGTGGCCTATTGGAGTATCTGAATGTGGGCGTGGCCTATCGGTCTATACCCCTCCGTGGGCGTGGCCTGTTGGGGCATACATCTCAGTGGGCGTGGCCTATTGGACTGTACCCCTTAGTGGGCGTGGCCTGTTGGGTATCACCTCTCAGTGGGCGTGGCCTATTGGACTCTACACCTTAGTGGGCGTGGCCTACTGAACCTGATCCCTCAGTGGGCGTGGCCTATCAGCCTGTACCGCACTATGGGCGTGGCCTATTTTACCCCTCCCCCCGATAGGGCGTGACCCCCCTTGGCCCAGCCCCTCCCCCCGTCCCCAGGTGGGCGTGGCCCCCCGGTGGGCGTGGCCGGCGGGGGGCGGGGCTCACTTGCGGCGGCTCTGGCTCAGGTAGCAGACGAGCGCGATGACGACGGCGAAGGCGACGACCGCGCCCACCGGGCCCACCTTGGCCCAGACCAGCCCCGCTGGGGGGACAGGTGAGAGACAGGTGAGACACGGACAGGTGAGACACGGACAGGTGAGACAGGTGAGACACGGACAGGTGAGACAGGTGGGAGACAGGTGAGAGACACGGACAGGTGAGAGACAGGTGAGACAGGTGAGACACGGACAGGTGAGACAGGTGAGACAGGTGAGAGACACGGACAGGTGAGAGACAGGTGAGAGAGGAGGGACAGGTGAGACAGGTGAGACAGGTGAGGGACACGGACAGGTGAGACAGGTGGGACAGGTGAGAGACAGGTGAGAGAGGAGGGACAGGTGAGACACAGGTGAGACAGGTGAGAGAGGTGAGGGACACGGACAGGTGAGGGACAGGTGAGAGAGGTGAGGGACAGGTGAGAGAGGAGGGACAGGTGAGACAGGTGAGGGACACAGACAGGTGAGAGACACGGACAGGTGAAACAGGTGAGACAGGTGAGACAGGCGAGAGACACAGACAGGCGAGAGACAGGTGAGAGAGGAGGGACAGGTGAGACAGGTGAGAGACAGGTGAGACAGGCGAGAGACGGACAGGTGAGACACGGACAGGTAAGACAGGTGGGACAGGTGAGGGACAGGTGAGAGACACGGACAGGTGAGACAGGTGAGAGAGGAGGGACAGGTGGGACAGGTGAGGGACAGGTGAGACAGGTGAGAGACAGACAGGTGATACACAGGTGAGACAGGTGAGACATGGACAGGTGAGGGATGGACAGGTGAGGGATGGACAGGTGAGACAGACAGGTGAGACAGGTGAGAGACACGGACAGGTGAGACACGGACAGGTGAGACAGGTGAGGGACAGGGACAGGGGGACAGGTGAGACGGGAGGGACAGGTGAGAGAGAGGTGAGAGACACAGACAGGTGAGAAAGGTGAGACAGGTGAGACAGGTTAGATATGGGCAGGTGGGACGGGTGAGGGACAGGTGAGATAGAGACAGGTAAGACACAGGTGAGGCAGGTGAGATACAGGAGGGACAGGTGAGGGACAGACAGGTGAGACAAGTAAAATACAGGTGAGCTCAGGTAAGGGACAGACAGCTGTGCCCAGGTGTGTTCCTATCCCTCTCAGGTGTGCCCAGGTGTGCCCAAACCCCCAATTTTCACCGATTTTCTCCCAATTTTTGCCATTTTTGTGCCCCAGTGTGTGTTCAGGTGTGCCCAGGTGTGCTCCTATCCCTCTCAGGTGTGCCCAGGTGTGTTCTATCCATCTCAGGTGTGCCCAGGTGTGTTCCTGTCCCTCTCAGGTGTGCCCAGGTGTGCCCAGGTGTGCCCAGGTGTGCCCAAACCCCCAATTTCCGCCCGTTTCCCCCCGTTTCCCCCCCCGGGGTGCCCTCACCTGGGTGGTGGAAGCGCAGCTGCATCCTGGCGGCGCCGTGCCCGTTGCTGGCGGCGCACACCACGTGAGCCCAGCTGTGCCCAGCTGTGCTCAGGTGTGCTCAGGTGTGCCCAGGTGTGCCCAGGTGTGCCCAGGTGTGTTCCTATCCCTCTCAGGTGAGCCCAGGTGTGCCCAGGTGTGCTCCTATCCCTCTCAGCTCTGCCCAGGTGTGCCCAGGTGTGCCCAGGTGTGCCCAGGTGTGCCCAGGTGTGCCCAGGTGTGCCCAGGTGTGCCCAGGTGTGCCCAGGTGTGTTCCTATCCCTCTCAGGTGAGCCCAGGTGTGCCCAGGTGTGCTCCTATCCCTCTCAGCTCTGCCCAGGTGTGCCCAGGTGTGCCCAGGTGTGCCCAGGTGTGCTCAGGTGTGCCCAGGTGTGCTCCTATCCCTCTCAGCTCTGCCCAGGTGTGCCCAAGTTTCTAGCCCTCTCAGCTGTGCCCATGTGTGTTCCTGTCCCTCTCAGGTGTGCCCAGGTGTGCCCAGGTGTGTTCCTGTCCATCTCAGCTGTGCCCAGGTGTGTTTCTGTCCTTCTCAGGTGTGCCCAGGTGTGCCCAGGTATGTT